GTCAGGTAAGGCCTGACTTCTCCCCAGGAGTCCCCTCTCCATGAGGGAACAGCCATGATCCTTCCCTTCTCCACAGTGGGAGAAGAAGATGAAGTCTCCATCCGGGAAGCAGCAGAGGCCATCGCGGAGGCCATGGAATTCAGGGGAGAGCTCGTTGTATCCTTCACAAAAGGCTAAGCCCCTCTTCCCACCAGCTCCCTTGAGAGATTCCATGATCCAGAGGATCCTTCCCACCAAAGGAGCAAAAGCAAGGCCTGTTTTTCCTCCTTAATCCTTCCCATCCCAGTTTGACACCACCAAGTCCGATGGACAGTTCAAGAAGACGGCCAGCAATGCCAAGCTCCGGCAGTACCTGCCCGGATTCCAGTTCACACCTTTCAGGAAAGGTGAGATGGGGGAGTCTCCAAGAGACACCAGGGGTCCTACCCCATGCCATCAGCCTTGGTGGCATCAAGGTGGTCCATCCTTTCCCGATGAAGAATGAGGGTGATGAAATACTGGCATGGGTTGCCCAGGGAGGTGGTGGTTTCTCCATCCCTGGAAATATCCAAGGTCAGGTTGGATGGGGCATGGAGCAGCCTGGTCTCTTAGGAGGTGTCTCCTTTCTTGGTGGTTGGGTAAGACCTAAAAAAAGTCCCTTCCAACCCAGCCTATTCTATGATTAAATGACCAAAATCCATTCCCAGTCCCCAAACCCATCCTGTGATTCTATACCAAAATCCATTCCCAAAATCCATTCCCAATACCCAAACACATCCAATTTTCTCCCTCCCCAGCTGTGAAGGAAACCTGTGCCTGGTTCAATGCCAACTATGCCACTGCCAGGAAGTGACAGCACCGGGACTGGGATCACCCGGCACCGGGATCATCCTCTTCAACTCAGGGTTGTCCTTTGCTGGGGCAGAGGACAGGACTGGGGGGGTGACAGTGACATTTCCAAAGCAAAAACAGGAGCCTGGGGAGCAGCTCCCACATTCCTGCCCCACTGCTGGGAGCGGCGCAGGACGCCCAGGGCAGGGGGGAGGAAGGTTGGAGCATCCCAAAAAGATCCCAAGTCAAGTAGTAGGAGCCAACTGGAGCCACATCACCATGGCTGTGTCCAAGAGGGTGGTGGCTCTGAGCTGTTCATGAGCTACACTAATTACCTGCAATTAGGTGTAATAAACAGAAGGCAATCAGGATTCCAGGGCATGGAAATGGCAGCAGGGAATTTGCTGCTCTTGGCACTTGGGGATGATCCCACAGCCCCCCATCTCAGGATAAGAATGGAAAAGATTGCAGCTGTAAATGTGGCATTTATTAAAATATATGCAAATAGCATAAAACTGGTGGGATAATGAACATCTGCCCTGTACCCACATCCAGTGGCATCCATGTTCTCCACCAGGTCTGGAATAACCATAAAAAGGGTTAAAACCTCTCTGTGAGGGAGTAGAAGGTCAAAAATGAGGGGGTGAATCCATGGCCAAGCTACTGCCAGTGATGTGGATGTGGCAGAATTCCTGCCCAGGAATGGCTTTCTTCCGGCACCGCTGCCCAGCCCTGGTGAGCCCCTGGCATGGAGACCTAAAGAGGAGAAACTCGTAGGCACCCCAGGAAGCCACCAGCAGTGGGGTCTCCCCCTGAGGTGACACCAAGTCACAGAGAAGGGACATTCTGGGTGGTTGCTGCTCACATGTTGGCTCTCGGGCTGCAGGGCTTGGGCTTCCAGAGCTTCCCAGCATCCACAACCGGCTCTGGTGTCACCTGGTTTGGGAAGAAGGGGGCTCCTGCAGATGTCCCTTGTCCCCTGGGGTGCCTTGGCCTTCCTTCAGGACACCCACTCCCAAATTTCTCCCTATATGTCATGTCCCCAGCCCTGTCAGTCTCCCAGTGGGTTGTCCCATGCCCAGAGGTGCCACCATGGTGAGGATACCCCAGCCTTGGAGGACCTGACCCTCAGAGACCCAGCTGGCCCCCAAGAGCAGATTTTGGGGAACAACACCAACATGGGGACATCCCACCCAGCATCTTACCCCACATGAGCTTGGTGTTGTCCTCTGGCCACCGGGGTCGGGTGACACTTGCCTAGTGAATCCGGGAATGTCCCCGGTCACCTCTTGGCGCTGCTCCAGGTATGAGGGCTCTGCAAGAACATGGCAGGGGTGGAGATACCCTCCCAGTGCTCCTGTCCCCAGGTGGTGGATGGGGACACTGGGGTGCTGGCACATGCCCTGGCAGAGCTTGGGGACACTCTGGGATAACACACATGTCCCAGCACAAGATGGGGACATGTCAGGGCTTTGGATCTGTCCTACAACCACCACACGTCCCACCTTGTGGGAACCTCTCACCTTGCAGGCAGCTTATCTCCATCCTGTCCAGTTCCTCTTGCAGCAGCTCTATATTGCATTCCCTGGGAGGGAGGAAGGAAAACCAGAATCCTGTCATCTTGGTGGCTTCTGTGTCACCACCACAATGGAGACATGCACCTCTCCATCTTCTCCACGCCCTTCTCTGAGCAGAAATTGGTCAGGGAATTGGAAAGACAAGCAAAAAAAACATAGGAAAGCCATCAGCATGTGTCCTCTCTTTTCTTGGAGACCTCTGCCAGATGGCTCCAGGATGAGACACCCAGGGATGTGACACTGAGTAGAAACAGGACATGGAGTTGGGACGAGATGCCCAAAAGCCATAGGAAAGCCATCAAGATACGTCCTGTCCTTCCCTGGAGACCTCTGCCAGACGGCTCCAGGATTGAACATACAGGATGGGAAATCCAGGATGAGACAGCAAGGATGGGATACCCAGGATGGAACATCTGAGCAGAAATGGGGGAAGGAATTGGGATGAGGTGTCCAAAAGCCATAGGGAAGCCGCCAAGATGTGTCCTGTCCCTTCCTGAGAACTTGGGAGACCCAGATGTCTCCAGGGTGGAAAATCCAGAGTGAGACAACAAAGATGGGACCCAGCAGCTCCCAAGGGTTCCATGCCACCTCCTCAACTGTCCCCTACCTCTCTGGGGTGGAGGTGAGACGGTACAGGGGCTCTTCCCGGGGAACAACTGGCCGGATCCTTCTGGCACCACGGCAGGCGGGTGCCACCAGCAAATGCCCTGTGGGAAAACAAGAGGGTGGGAGAGGAGCCCACCCAGGGTGGTGTGTCCCCTACCAGGTGTCCCCACACTCATCCCCACCTGCCACAGCAAGGAGCAGAAGAGTGGACATTGCTGGAATGCCGAGGGCGCTGGAAGTGAGGAAGAGGAGGAGGAGAAGGATGGCCTGGAATGATGCTGGCACCAGTGGGAGAAGCAGGAGCATGAAGTATGAGCCGTGTGGGATGCAGGAGGAGGTGGCACTTTGGCTCTGACCTGTGGGATGGGGAAGAAAAGCCTGGTGTTGGCACTCGCCAGCTCCCATCGATCCTCCAGCACCCATTCCTGCTCACCATCCAGGTCAGGGATGGCTTTGAGGTGCTCCAGGTGGCTTCGTGCATCTTCCAAGACTGTCAGCATCAGCTCCAGGCTCTGGTTGACCTTCCGCAGCTTCTCCATCACCTCCTGAAGGACCAGGTTGCTCTCTGCATATGGAAAAGATGGACTCAGCAGTGGGATGAGCTGAGGAAGATGCACCCTGGTGTGAAAAAGCTGGGAATGGGATGTGCTGTGTTCCCACCTGGTTGGGGATGAATATCCTGAGTTCTTTCCTGCTCCTGATGGAGGTTGGATGGGACAACCTGGTGTCCTCCCTGGAGCTGCGCAGCCCCACGGCTGCTCACATTCCCTGTGGGGAGGGAAAAGAAGTTTGATCAGTCCCAGAGTGGGATATGGGAATGTTGCAGCGTCCCAACCCTGGCTCATACCTATCTGGTGGGCGATGTCCTGCATAAGCTGGGCCATGGGGGTCTCATCCAGCACTGACCTCATCCAGGTCTCCCAGAGCTTCTCCTGAGGTGAAAATTTGCGGGGTGATGATGGGGGAATGCTGTTTCTCCCCATGGACACCTCAAAACGAGCCCTTGGCACCCCTGGGTGCTCCCAGCATGGGATGGAGGGACAAAGGAGGGGGTTTGGGGATGTAAAATGTGGAAAAAGGTGTGAACTCACCCCAGAATTTGGCTTCCACCTCCCAAAAGCCATATCTACACCAAGCAAAGAGGCTGCCTAGGATAGGGGATCCCAGAATCCCAATTTCCCAGCTGGGGAGAGTCCCACAGCTACCAGACAGTGACAGGAGTCCAGGTGTGACTTCTCCCAGGATGTGGCTTCATCCTGGCTGTGACCCATGGCTGTCTTGAGGGGGGATTTGTGGGGGGAAACCCCAGCTCCGGTGAGGGGGATCCCCACCTTCTTTGGGGAGGCAGCAAGGCCCAGCCACCCCAAAAACCCAGCAGTGGTACACAGGAGCAGCACAGCCCAGGAGCTCTGGAGCAGCATGATGGGAATGGAAGGGATCCTGTGGGGAAAAGAGGGTGAGAAGAAGCCCCCCATACTCACGGACAAATTACAGGACCACCCTCCCCAAATTTCGGGGACCCACCCCACTAAGGGAACCTCCCATAGTCCCAGGGATGCTGGTGGGTGAGGGTACTATGGGAAGAAGAGGATGAGGAGCACCACGGAGTGGGAAGCAGCTCCCACACCCACGGACTAATTAGGGGACACCCCCTCGGAGAGTATCCCCCCATAAACCCGTGGATGCCGGCGGGTGGGGGGGAGGAGACTGGGGAGTGGACAACTTTGGGGACTTCCCCCACGCTAAATTTAGTCCCCACCCCCCTGGTGGCGATCCTCCCGTGGCCCCAGGGGTGCCGGGGCTCCGCCAAGAGCTGCGGGGAAGGTTTGGGAAGAGTCAAGAACTCCCTCCGGGCCCCCCACGCGTGGCCCTGCGCAAACCACGTGGCGCCGGCGCATGCGCGGTTTTCCTTCTTTACCCCGCCCCTTAAATGCGACTGAACCAATAGGAGAGCAGGGTGTGAATGAATGCTACCAATCAGCGCCGGGGGTGTGGATCTGGGGGCGCGGCCTCGCCCAGCCATGGAGGCGTCCGAGCTCTGGGTCGGGTTCGTGGGCGCCGGGCGCATGGCCGGAGGGCTCGTCCGGGGGCTGCTGCAGGCAGGTACGGGATGGGGGCGACCGGAGGGTCCGTGACACATGGGCAGGGGAGGGGACATGGGGACAGTCCTGGTCTGGCGCCTTCCCGGCGTCCCTGCGCGTTCGGCGGTGCGGGGAATTGTGGGGGGACATGGGGACAGCGCTCGTCTGGACGCTCCCTGCACTCCCTTCCCTGTTGTCCAGTGGAGATGCATGGGAACAGTCGCATCCTGACCTGATCCCAAAGTCCCAGCCCACCCCCGGGTCCCTGTCCTCCAGGGATGTGGGGATAACCCTGTCGTGGCCCGTTCCCAAGGTCCCAGCCCTTCCCCAGGTCCCTGTGCTCCATTGGAGGAACACGGGGACAGCCCTACCTTGGCCTATTCCCAAGGTCCCAGCCCTTCCCCGGGTTCCTGTCCTGCGCTGGAGGGACATGGGGACAGCCCTTTCCTGCTGCATTTCCCCGGGGACCCTGCTGTTCCCTTGTGTCCCTGTAACACAGATTAGTGTGGGGACATGGGGACAGCCCTGTCCTGTCCCAGTCCCCCAGGGTCCCTGTCCCCCACATCAGTGTGGGGACGTTGGGACAGCCCTTTTCTGCACCCCTCCCCAAGGTTCCTGCTCTCCCCAAGGACCCTGCCCTCCGTGAGGTCCCTGTCCCCCAGATCAGTGTGGGGACATTGGGACAACCCTGTCCCACAGATAGCGAGGGCACAGCCCTGTCCCTGCTCCCCATGTGTCCCAGATTGTCCCTGTTCCATAGCACAGTGTGGGGACAGCCTTGCCCATTAGGGCCACCTTCATTGTCACTGCACCGACACAAGTGGGTGCCTGTGCCAGCCACACCAGCAGGATCCATCCCCAGCCCCCTCTGCTCCATGTCCTCCTGTGGGATCGTGCTGGGATTGGAGAAATCACATCCCAGTGGAAATCGGGGTGTCTGGGCTTCCACTCATCCCATTGCCTGTGTCCTCCAAGGGAAGGTTCCAGCCAGCAACATCCTGGCCAGCGCTCCCTCAGACAAAAACCTGGATGCTTGGCGGGTGAGTGGGGCCATGGGGCTGGGAGATGTTGGGGTGTCCCTCCCTGTGGGGTCAGAGCACCCTTCCCCCCCACACTGGGGTTTGGCTCATCCTTCCCAGGTCTGGGTGAGATCCAGGCACAGTCTCGGTGGCTTTGTGACCAGAACAAGTCCCCAGGCCGTGGCCCTGCCTCTGGATGTGCCATTTCTGTGAGGGTGCTGGTTTTGGGATGCTGTTTTTGGAGGTGCTGGGCTGTGATCCCTCTCCCTGTCCCTGGGCAGAAGTTGGGCTGCCGGACCACACACTGCAACCTGGAAGTGGTGCACAGGAGCACCCTGGTTTTCCTGGCCACCAAGCCCCACATCCTGCCGGGTGTCCTGGAGGAGATCCGTCCCGCTGTGGGGTCCCACCACATCGTTGTGTCATTGGTGGCTGGTGTCACCATCCAGACACTGCAGCGGGTGAGACTCCTTCTCCTTCTTTTCCCCTTCTCTCCTGCTCCTCCTCTCTTTTTCCTTCTGCTTCCCCTCCTTCTCTCCTCTTCTTCCTCTCCTTTCTTTTTCCTTTATCTTCTCCTCCTTCTTCTCCTCCTCCTCTTCCACCTCCTCCTCCTCCTCCTTGTCTCCTCTGTTTTCCTTGTCCTTGCCCTCCTTCTCCTTTTCCCTTCTCCTCCTATTCTCCTTCTCTCCTTTTTCTTTCATATTCTTCACCTCTCATTCTCCTGTTCCTCCTTTCCTCTTCTTCCCTCCTCTTCCTCCTCCATTTGCACCCAGGCCCATGCGGGACACACCACTGTGGCCTTGTCCCCACCTGGCTGCACCTCCAGCTCCCTCCCTGTGCTCCTCACTTCTCCGCCAGCCTGATGGGTGACACCCACCGGTGTCTCCAGTCACCCTCGGATACTTCCCAGGGCTGGCACCCCTTCTTCCATCCCCATCTTTTCCCAGCTCCTCCCACCCTGGACCAAAGTGCTGCGGATCATGCCCAACCTGCCCTGCGTGGTGCAGGCAGGGGCCATGGTCTTCTCCCGGGGCAGCAATGCGGGTGATGAAGAAGCCGCGCTCCTCAAGAGCCTCCTGTCCTCCTGTGGCCTCTGTGAGGAGGTCCCCGAATCCTACATTGACATCCACACCGGGCTCAGTGGCAGCGGCGTGGCATACGTAAGCTAGGGGGACAGGGGACGCTGTCCTGGGATTTGGGGTCCTCCCCTTGCTCCAGGCTCACCCCGGGATACTCTCCTCTTCCCAGGTGTACCTGTTTGCCGAGGCGTTAGCTGAGGGTGCGGTGAAGATGGGAATGCCGGGCGCCTTGGCCAGCAGGATCGCGGCGCAGACGCTGCTGGTGAGTCCTTGGCACACAGCGACATCGCTCCCCTTCCCTCCTGCCCCTGGGCTCCACAACATCCATTGGGATGAGGGAGGAGGTGCTGGATACCACTCTGCCTCAGTTTCCCCTCTTGGAAGCAAAAACGAGGCCACCAGAAGGGTGAAGGGCATAGCGGTGGGACAGTCCCTCGCCATGGGGGTGTTGGGATGGTGATGCCATCCAAACATGGAGAGGGGGATTTGGGATGTCCCAAATCTCACCTTCTTGGTATCCTGGTGTCCCGTAGGGTGCAGCGAAGATGCTGCTGGAGACGGGGGAACACCCGGCAAAGCTGCGGGGGGACGTCTGCACGCCTGGGGGCACCACGATCTACGCCCTGCACCAGCTGGAGAAGGGAGCGCTCCGGGCCACCGTGATGGATGCCGTGGAGGCGGCCACCAACCGGGCATATGACATGGCCAAGGACTAGTGGACAAGCCCCTTCTGGGACAGGAGGGGTGACAGGGACCAAAGCGAGCTCCTCTGAGGAACAGGGGGATCCTGACAGCTTCAGGAGAACCTGGATGAGGGTGGGAGGTGGTGGAGACACGTGTTACCTCTGCAGGGCTGCAACCAAATAAACGTGGCCAGAGCAATGGGGGGGGTGTGGCTTTTTGTGGTCCCTGTGGTCCTGGGGAGCTGTGGAAGCCACCACGGGGTCACTTCCATGGGGAGGTGACATCCATGATTTCCAGGGATGGAGCTGGTGCCATGCTGGCACCAAGGTCACCAAGGATGAAGCTGGTGTGGGATGTGCAGCACTGGGGAGGGACTTTTGGGAATGAGGTGATGCCACTTTAACCCTGCTAGGGCTGGGAGAATGGCTGCATCCCTGTGGTCAGAGCAACATCCATGAGGATGCTGCCCACATTCCAGAACGATGGGCTCATATTTCAAGAGCTCAAGAGCTCAACCAGCCAAAAAACTGCACCATGATCCCTGATCTGCTCCCAGCTCTGGGAATATCAAGGGGGTAGAAACTCAAACTTGCCCATCAGGAGAGGATCTGAGCCTTTTCCATGCCCTAAACACTTCTTGCCTCCTGGCACTTGCATGGATGCAATTAGCAATGATTTGGGAATTGCTCTGAGGATGAAAAGGTTTTTTCTGGGCAAAACATCACTGGTGGGAACATCTGGATGCTGAGCCCTGACTTTGGATAAGGGCCTGGGGTGCCAGGACAAGAGGGAATGGTTTCCCACTGCCAGAGGGCAGGGTTAGATGGTATATTGAAGGAATTCCTCCCTGTGAGGGTGGGGAGGAACTGGAATAGAATTCACAGAGAAGCTGTGGCTGCTCCATCCCTGGAAATGTCCAAGGCCAGGGTGGACTGAGCTTGGAGCAACCTGGGATAGTGGGAGGTGTCGCTGACCAGAGCAGAGGGTTGGAATTTGATGGAGTTGCAGGTCCCTTCCACCCCAAACTGTTCCATAGTTTTATATTCTCACCCCCCCAAACCAGTTCAAAGTCCTCCAGCCCAATATCTGCTGCTGATCTGTGCAACATTTTTGTCACGCAGCTGAAGCCTCACTCACAAACTTGAAATGAGCCACATTCCAAGCTCCAAAATCTTTTTGAGGGGAGATTTTGGTGCAAAAGATGATAAAAATAAACAGAAACGTGATTTTACATGATTACACCCCATTGGCATGGAGAAAGCCACATTGAGAGGACACAACCCCGTGAAGATCCCCCTGGTGCCACCCCAAATCCCTCTGGGATGGCTCCATGTGACAGTTCACAGACGACAACCTCCACGTGGGAATAAAAATCCATTTAATTTCCATAAACTCTGCTGTGAGGAGACAAAGACCCGACAAATAAAAATCCCCACCCGCCTGCTGACACGGGGCACGGCAGCACTGAGGAGTTCATGTCATTTCCCTCTTCCAATAATTTGGCTAAACACCCTAAAATTTCATTCAAATCAGGTCAGGAGCTGCTAAATTCCTATCAGATGCCTCCAATATTCCAGTTTGGTGCTGGGAGCCCTCTGTGCTCCAACCTCCACTCACTGAGACGTGTCCTCCAGCCCTGGCCACCCCACAAACCCCATGGGGAACACCTCAACCCCCATCCCTGGAACCTTCAGCTCCATGAGGATGCTCAGATGATGGTACCTGGTTCAGCAGGTCTCCGTGGTCCAGGTGTTCCCAGCTGTGATGGGAATGATGGAGCTGACCCTCTCTCATGGATGCCACCCAAGTGTCCCTTTCCTAATTCAGCGCCTGAAGGAAGTTGTCTTAAGCCAGCCCCAACCTATCCTGGTTTAACAGGACTTTGTTTTGGCAGTGGGAAGGGCATCACAAGCCTCTTCCAAGGTGTAATATTTCCCCTGAAGCACCTCAGGAGTGGTCCCAGCTGGCTGTGCCCACCTCAGCCACACTCTGGGATTTGGGGTTTTTTCAATGTAACATCCCCCATTATCCCAGGGATGCTGAGCAGATCCTTGCCTCGCCCCTTCTCCCACAGAATTGGGGGAACTGGGGAATTTTGGGGGAGGGGGGGCAGCATCCATCCCCTTCTGTCAGTGCCAGTGACCAGGGGCCACAAGGGACATAAAAAATAGCACCTCCTAAATATATTTAGGTAAGGAACAACCCTGGAATTCGAGTTGTTGCACAAAAATCCCCTAAATTGTGACCCACAGGCATCTGGGCTTCCTGATGCCCAGGGAATCACAGTCACAGAGGGGTGAGTGGCACCTCCATTGCCATCCCCCTGGGACAAGCGGGGCATCCCCAGGTCTGTGGCAAACCAGGGGTGGTTGGTAGCCAAAAAAGTGGGGGTTGCTCCTGTCCTAGGATTGGGGGCTGTGGCTGCGGTGCAGCCGCTGAGCCATGGAGATGAGGGAGCGGAGCTGCACCAGCTTCAGTGGCCCCACTTCCCGGGGGTCTTGTCCCTCCAGCCAGCGCAGCGCCGTCTCCAGACCCTGGATGGCTTCCTGAGCCGTGGGGAGCAAAGGATCTCCTCCCTCCCCGCCCCTTTTCCCACCAGCTGCTTCCTCCTCCTCATCCTCCTCCACCCCGCAGCCCTCGGCGCCTTCCTCCTCGGCATCATCGTCCTCCTCTGCACCTGGAGCTGCATCATCTAAGTGCAACCAGTCGGACACTTCCTCGGGAGCCAAGCGCTTGAAGGCCAAGGCGGCCAGGTGGGTCAGGTCACTGAAGACCTTGCTGTCCCCTCCGCCTTCCTCCCCTCCCGGGGTGTCCCCGTGCTCTTCCTCGCCGGGCTGGGGCTCGAAGGCGGCGCGCAGCCCCAGCAGCCAGCACTTCTCGATGGATCCGGGCGGGATGAGATCCCAGGAGAGGCCAGCCAGGTACAGCATGTCCTTGAGGAGGAAGGACCGCACGAAGTCCGCGGGACTGCCGGGGCCGCCACAGGACACGGCCAAGCGCAGCAATTCCCGCTTGTAGAGCTGCTTGAAGGCCGACACCACCCCTTGCTCCAGCGGCGCCGGGATTCGGCCTCCTGCTCCGGCCAAGCCGCTCCCGGAGGGACCCTTGGAGAGGAAAAGCGCACGGATGGACCCGTCCGGGGTCTGGAGTGGCGGGGAATCCTCAGCCCCCGACCTGCAGCGGGATGGAGCGGAGCTGAGCAGCAGCACGGCCTTCTGCTGCAGGCAGCTCCGCCGCAGGTACCGCTTGACCCCCGGCACGAAGTCCTCAAAGAACCAAGCCCGCAGAAGCGCCGGCGCCAGCCGGGCCTCGGGGCTGTAGCGGTAGCAAGCCGGGAATTTCTCCTGGTTGTGATGCCGGAGGCTGGCGGGATCGCGGAGACCCCCGACCACCAAGGGCTTGAGTTTGTGGGAGCCAGTCAAGTTGGCGGCCAGCAGCACCGTGACGCGCTCGCCGCGGGCCGGACGCCTTGCCGTGATTCCAGCACCAGGAAGAAGCTTCCAGAAGAGCCTGGTGATGTTGGCGTTGTAGATCTGCTCATCCCCGTAGCCGCCGGCATCGGGCAGGGCCTCGGCGCGGGTGGCCGGAGCGCGCTCGGGCTCGGCAGGGAGGCCGCCCTCGCCGTAGATGCGTTGGCTGGAGATGCCGTGGCGCTTCTGCCAGCGCCAGAACCAGCCGTGGCTCGCCTTGAATGTGCATTCAGGCCCGTAGATCTGCCGGGCGAAGGCTTCCGCCTGCGCCTGGATGAGGGGTCCGGAGAGCGGCACGCCGTGCTGGCGCAGGGCGAGGAACCAGGCGTAGACGGCGCGGTCGATCTCCTCCTCGTTGGCCAAGCGCATCTTCTTGCGCTGGGTGCCCACCTCGCCGCCGAGCTGCTCCAGGAACCAGCGGAGCTTCGCCTCGTCCTTCAGCCACCCGCGGAGCGTGCCCCCCGGCACCCCGAAAGCCCGGCACACCGACGCCTGGCGCTCGCCCTTCTTCACCCTCTCGATGGCCTGGAGCTTGTCCTTGATAGAGTAGGCGCGGCGAAGCGACATCTTCACCGACACCCCCCCGGGTGATGCGCTGCTGCCTCCACCTCCTCCTCCTCCTCCTGTCCGCCGCCCTCCCGCCATTCCCCCGCCCTCCTCCGGCTCCCCCCCGGGCATGGAGCGACCCCCACATCCATGGGAATGGGGGGCGCGTTATAACCGGGGAGGAATGCGGGGATGGGGTGGGGGGGGCGCGGCGGCGCCTTTGTCTCCGCTCCGGACCCCCGCATGCGCGCACCCGACCACAGCCACTAAGCTGCTCCGCTCCAACCCCCCTTTCCTTGCCAAGTTGGATTCTTCCTCTTATCTCCACCAGCCCCTTTGGGTTGTACTACTCTGCTAAAAGGGGGGAGCACTCCACTCCGCTGCCCTCCCGCCTCACGTCGCTTACCCCCTTGAGCTGTTCCACTTGGCTTCCACGGGAGGGAGAAGAGGTGCACGGAGGGAGACAACGCGCCGCACGCACAGCGCGGGGCCTCCATTTCTCCGTAACTCCCCCCGTAAAATACAGGGGATCCTCCCAGCAGAGGCAGGGAAGTAGCGTGGGGGAAGCAGCGAGGTGGCTCATCCCCCTTTTCGCAGAGTGGTACAACCCACGGGCGCTAGCGGACGTGCTAGGACGAATCCAACTTGGCAAGGAAAAGGGGGGGCAGCGCATTTTAATAGTTACAGGGGGGATGGTTCACTCATCCTGCTTCCACCCCTCCGTGATATTCCACGTGCCTCTTTTATTGTGCGGGGAAACAGGCCCCGCTCTGTGCATGCGACACGTTGTCCCCCTTCGCCACCCCCCCAGGCGCCACGTGTGGTACGCGCCTCCCCCATAACTCTCCGCGCGCCGCGCGCCCCCCCCCTCTATCCCGGCGGCGGCCAAAGGGAGCGGCGGGGCCTTGAGGGGTCAACGCTGCCGGTGAGTCCTGGTTTCCGGCCCCTTGCAGCCCCTACGGATCCTTATATCCCCACTTAGCGTCCTTTATCCCTCCCCCTGAGCCTCGGTAATGGCAGTTTCCGGGGTCTGCAGAGCGTCCTTTACCCCTCTAGGGCGGGAGGTGGGGGGAGGCCCTCGTGATATTTGGGTTGAAGGGGCTCAGGGAGTCCTTCAGGGTGTGTAGGGTTCTTTTTTCATCTCAGAATCCCCAAGCAAGTGGTTGTGGTAACCCCTTTTATTCTCTTTAGGGCAGTTTTCCTGTGGAAAGAGGGATTTGGGGATCCCCTTATAGGGAATGGGGCTCTTTCCCTCACAGTGGTGGGAAGAGGGGAGTTTTAGGGGTTCTTCTTGTATGTGGGGGTCTCTCGCCCTGTTAAAGCCTCAGAAAAGGGAGTTTGGGGAGGTTCTCCCATTGTCTTTAGGGCCCATTCCATTTCCCGAGTGTCCCGAGGGAGAGGATTTGGGGTGCTCTTGGTTTTGGGATAACTTTTCCATGCTTAGAATCCTAGGAAATGCTGGGGTGACCCCCCTTTCCTCATGTTTTCAGTTTTTCTTCCATTAGTAGGTTTGGAGAGGGAGTCATGGGAGTCCCTAAGAGTCCTGAAGGAAAGGATTTGGGGATGCCCTCGTTCCTTGGGATTACTTTCCTCACTTAAGATCCCAAAGAATATTGTGGTAGGACTCCCCACTCTCAATGTTTTAAGTTCTTTTTCCCTTAAAAGTTCTGGGTAGGGGCATGTGGAAGCCCTCTCCCCATTCCCTGTGGAATTCCTCCACTCACACCCCAAAAAAGAGGATGTGGGAGATACTCTCATTACCTGGGAAATCCTTTTCCCCCTTCCAGGCGCAGGGAAGGGGGGAATTTTAGGATTTGCCATGTCTTTGTGGTCCTTTTCCCAGGATTTAGGAACTCTCTGTTACAGGTAAGGGGTGAGTGGGCTCATGTTGGGGGGATCTTCCTAAACCTTTGTGGTTTTCCACATATTGTGGGGACATATTCCCTGTTTTTTAGGAATCTTCCTGCTGTATTAAAGCCTCACCTCTTCAAGTCTGGATTGGGTAGGGGGGGAAAATGATCAGTGTTATTCCTACCCTGGTAGGGAAGGGAATTTAGGGATCTCACACATCCCAGCTGCTCCAGGTGCCTTGAGGGTCTGCTCCTCCCATTCCTGGGATTTTTTGTCCAGTCACTTGCTGCAAAGGGAAACCGGACGTGTCCTGGCACGGAGCAGCTGATCCATCCCATATCCCAACCCCCTTGGCTGCTTTTCCAAACTTATCCCAGAGCTGGGAAACGTGGAAAATCAGCTCTAGGTGCACCTGGGCTCTGCTTATCTCACCTGCCCCTCTTTCCTCGTGCTGTTATTCCCAAATTTCCGTCACCTTGGTGGGGCTTGTCCTCTCCTTTTTTTTTTCCTCTTTTAACTGGATGCTCAGGCGGGAGGGATCCATTTCCAAGCTATTTTGGGAACAGGCAGAGCCTGCTGTTGTGCTCCATGGGGTTTTTGAGGGATTACATCCCTAACTAAACTTGCTGAGGCTGCCGCATTGGCATTCCCAGAAATTCCATATGGATTTGTTCTGTCGCATCCAGGTCACCGATGATTTGGAATTGATTTGGATCCCGATGGTCACAGTCCTTAGGGATGAGAAATTCTCTTTTCCGAGCTGTTTTGCTGTAATTCTTTCATCTCCTTTTCCAGGTGTGTCCCATTTCTCCCTGACCTTCAGGTTGGATTTTTCCACACCTGAGCTGTTCATTCCCAACTCTTTTTTTCCCCTGTTTCTCCTGAAGGTGACATGTTCCCAGTTTTTGCCTTCTGGTGATTTCCCATATCCATGACTATCTCATTAGGAATTTTCGGCTTGGAGCAGAAAATTGTGATTTTAGGTGATCAAGGATGGAAATTTTGGTGTTTTCCTGGAATGTGGAGCTTTGTCTCATAGCAAAGGTGATTATAAGGGTCTGACTTAGGGAAGAGCCAATTTTAGGGAGTGAAACCAGCAGGAATTTGGGAAGAGCCAATTTTAAGGAATGAAACCAGCAGAAGAGCTAGTTTTAAATGAATAAAACATTAGATACAATTGTTAATATTTTGATTTATTTTGATTCTTCTGATGGTTCTTGAACTCATCCTGAATTTCTGGGCTGTGACTTCCCAGTGGAGAGCCACAGCGTGGTTTTTAATCCTAAAACTTTGTGTTTGATGAGGTAAATAATGGCAATTTTGGGTGGAAATTGTTGAAAGGTGATTGTTTGTGTGATTAAAATCCCTTTTTCCCAGGTTCCTCCAGGAAAACTGATGGACACAGAAGAGAAATGACATTTTTTTCCCAATTTTCCCTTGTTTAGGAGCTTTATTTCCTTGGAAATTTGGGGTTTTTCCAGGACTGAACATGAGGTTTGGCTGCTCATGGAAGCAAAAAGGTGCTGCAGGAATGTTTGGAATCACCCAAAAATTGGGCTCCTGAATTCCATCAACCAATTCCATCCATGCCAGGATTGGAATGGCAAGTTGGGAATTCTTAGGCTGCCGGGATGGGAAAATCCTTTTGGATAACATCGTGATAATGTTACTTTCCTTGTTATTAAAATGGAAATAAACTCGTTTTCTGTGGGTGTTGGTTCACAAACTTCATGGAGTTCTGGAAAGTTCATCAGCTCCAAACTTCATTAAAATGTTAATTAATTAATCCATTAATTATTAATTAAGTAATTTATCTGAGGAGCTGCTGCATCCATAGAAATTAGAATTTTTCTCTAATTTTATCCTGTTTTTTTTTAATGCTGTCATAGGAGAAAAAAAAGTAAGTATCTTTTAATTGTTGTGTGCTTTTTTGGGAATTCTGGAAAATCTGGGAATGTCAACACTGGTGGGATATTTATTAGACAAATTACTGCTGAGTTTTCTTGGAAAGAATTAATTTTTTAAGGCTTTTTTAAATTAATTTCAGCTTTCTCAGTTGGAGGGAATCTCCTGGGAGTTCCTCATTATGGAATTCCTACCCCATAATTCACCTCATCCATGAGGGCTACAATTCCAGGGCTTGGAGCTGCTTAAAAACTGGAGCAAAATGACTTTAAAAAAATAGATTAAATAATGGGGAAAAAATTAATTTTTAAATTTAGTTTTAAAACAAAAAAAATTTGGATTTTTTTGTGCAAAATACCACATTTTTTTATTATTTTACTCTTTTATTTACTGTAATAAATTTATTTCTGTGTAAAGGTTCTAACAAGAATTTATTGCTCCATAAAATATAAGAGAAAAACATAAAATAAATTCAAAAAAAGGTTTAATTTTATTTTTTTTTTCTTCAAATTCTGAATTGAAAACTCAAGTTTTAAGCATTTTTAGCTGAATCAAAGTTTTCCAGCTCCAGGGAAAAAAAAAGAAAAATCTCCTTTTGCCATTCCTAATAATTTGTCTAATTGGAATCTAATTAATATTTTGGACTGTCTAAATTTAAATGTTTAAAGGCAAAAGTGTAATTTATTAATATATAAATTTAAATGGAAATACTCAAGACCCAAAAAAGCATTTATGTAAATTTTAAATTAAATTTTAAATTCAAAGCAATAGATTTTATATTTAAACTAAAATTAAAAATTAAATCAAAATTTAAAGCTAAGCCTTGGATGTGAGGCTTCCAAATTCTTCTAGGAATTCTTGTAATTACAAACCTTTGCAGATATTTCATCTGTCTTGGAATTTTGTTTGGCAACCTGCCAAGGTCAATTTTTATTAATTACTTTATTAATCACTAAATTTCCAGCTCCTGGACAGGTTTAATTTGCTGATAACTTGGATTTTATCCCAAAATTAAATCCCAGTTTTTCAGCAGCTGCCTTTTAGTAGGAAAACCCAACCAGTAGTAAATGACAACCTCCAAAAACTCAAAAATTTGAGCCAGTTTTCCCAAAATTTTGCCTAATTTGGAATAAGTAGCAAATAATGACTAATCTGCTAACTTGGAATAATATCGTGTAATTTCCAAGGATTTGGACAAAATCCTGTGGGATTTTTTTCCTGCCTGTTGCCTTAAAACTTGGAATAATGGGGGGAATTCTTGGCAGGAATATTTTAGGAGGAAGGCTGTTTCAGCCACATTGAATTCCGTGGAATTCAAACTTCTCCCAAAAGGGAAAAAAGAAATGGAATATTTGCGCTTTTTCCTGGGAATGTTAGTGGATAAAAAACGTCTCCTGCATGCCCTTGCTTTGCTCTGCTGCCACTACATTTGTTGTGCTTATTTCTCCATGCTGCCCATTTTTTTCGGGAAGATGAGGACACGGAAAAACCCCTGCTCTGTGGACAAAGTTTGGCTGGAAAAGCACCGGAACGACGAAGCCGAGCGGGAAGTGCCGGAGCGGGAAGCGCCGGAGCCCGAGGCAGTCAACGGGATCTGCCATGAGGATTCCATTGAGGGGGAATTCAAGGGAGACCTGAAAAAGCCCCGGAATGGCAAAAAACAGCGGAAACGGAAGCGTTCCCCAAAACCCAAAGCTCAGGATTCCAAGCTGGAGGCGATCCTGGCGGGAATGTCGGCAGAGCATGTGTGGTTTGACAAGCCCTTGTATGACCGCGCCGAGAACGCCTACAGGAAAAAATTAGCGGGTTCCCAGAGTTGGGAATTGCCTGAGACTGGAAAAACGTCTCAGGAACCTCCTGCTGTGGCGAGGTCGAACTCCAGCCAAGATATTCCCAAGGCAAGGATGCTCCCGGCATGTTCCCACGGGAGCCTGGCCGCCTGTCACCACGTTGTCCAAGGGGTTTGGATCAACAAGTTTGACTTCGATAAGGCCGAGAGGGCGTTCATGGAAAAATCCCAGTTTTTCCTTCCTCCCAACGTCCTGGCCATCCCATCGGTGTGGGCGAATTCCAGGCTGGGAACGCCGGATGAGGGCTACGGCACGGCCTTACCCACTCCCGCCACGCCAGGCTTGGCTCCCGGCATTCCCAACTCTCCTGTGGCCTCCATTCCCAGTTTGCCCAGCTCTGACCAGCAGACGGTCAATGGGAAGCCGCAGATTTCCAACTGGGAAGTTCTGGCATCCGAGGTGTGGCTGGAGAAGCCTCTCTACGATGATGCTGAGAAGAATTTTTATGAGAAGATGTTGGACGGGCACCCCTCGGATAAAACCCAGTGGCGGCAACGCGGCTGCCCGGAAGCATCCAAGAATCACAACCTTGGGAAGCAAACTGGGATGGCCACCACCAACCCTCAGCTTCCTGATATTCCCAAGGAAAACCCCACCTGCTTTTTCCTGCACAAGGACAGTGAATCTGTGTGGCTGAATAAGGTGACCTACGACAGGGCCGAATCCCGATATTTTGCCCTGGAAGCAGCCAGAGCAGCAGAGAAAACAGGGATCCAGGAATCTGCAGCAAGAAATCCCTCCCATCCAGCTGCTCCAAGCACTCCTGCTCCAGAAATGAAGTAGGAGAAGTTTATTTGGGGGTAATGCCCATGCAAAAAAAAAAAAAGGCTGGGTCAGGATTGAGCCAGGAGGAATTTGCATGTGGAGAAGACTGGGTGGACTTGGAGATGATCCTGGTGGGCAGGGAGCAGGGGGAAAATCCTTTAAGGAATTCCCCTGAATTCCTGAGGAATTCTGGTGGATAAATGCTGTGTTTGTGTGGAGCTAGAAGTTGAATGTTTAAAGGCAGGGTTGGGAAGTATCCCCCTTTTTGCATGGATACAGCACCATCCTCCTTTCCATCCTCTCATTCCATATAAAAATCAGCATCATAACCAGGATCCAGCTTGAAGAAGGTTTGGAAGTGACTGGAAAACAATTTAGGGAATCACTCCGGTGGGAGCATGTGCTGTAGTTTGGTTTTTTGAGGGAATTTATATTCAGTCTGTGAATTTTTGGAATGCCTTTGGATCCTCTCCAAAGGCAGAGCTAAGGTAGGGATGGATATTCCTGGAAAAAAAGACTCTTGGAGCATCCGTCTTCATTTCTGACACTTCTGATCCATGAGTTTTGTTGGGATTTGTTGTAGAGCTTTTAGGATCTTTGTGTCAAGGGATTTGGGGGTCAAATACCTTTCACTTGGTCCTGTTTGGGATCATTTCCTCTTCAGTTGCTCATAACTGGAAAATTGGGAAAATCCATGTGTCTCTGTAAAAACGTGGGATAAATTTGTCTGTATTGGGGATTTTCTGCAAATGATCCTGGTTGGAATTCCAGCAGATCCTGGAGATTTGGGTGTGGAGGGTGGTTTTGCTGCAGCTCCTGTGTCTGGTTGGCCTCTGGTCTCTTCCAAGTGGGTAGATAAGAAGGGATTTGATTTCAGGACGATCATATCTGGCTTCTGTGGAAGTGTTTTATGGAAAACTGGGGTTTGGGATAACGAGGAGAGGCTTTGTGGAGCCTGCTCCAGTCGTGGTTTCCTTGTGCTGCTATATCCCTGCTCTCCACCTCCTCAGACTTCTGCTGGCTCTGTCCCCTGCTGGAATTCAGGGCACTTGCTCTTTTCCTGTTTCCCTTAAAATTAAGAATTTAACCCACCTTGGAAGCTGCTCCGTAAAAAACCCCCATTTCCCAGCAGGATTTGGGCTGTTTTGTGATGTTTTTCCCTGTAGTGCCAGGTCTGTCCCTTCCAAGTATTGCTGATTTTTATCAAAAGATTTCCCAGTGAACTTGTGGGTGCCCCATCCCTGAAGCATCCAGGGAAAGGTTGAATGAAGCTTGGAGCAACCTGGGATAGTAGAAGGTGTCCCATGGAAGGAATTTGGAACTAATGATCTTTATGGTCTTTTCCAACCCAATCCATTCCATGATTTCTATTCCCTTTTTATTCTCCTACACAAGCCATTTTCCTTAGCATGAACCAGAAAATCCTGGGGTTTTGAGGTTTTTTTTGTGGAATAAAGTCTGGATCAGCTGATTCATCCCATCCCCACTCCATGTCCAGGTCAGGCAGGTGGGTGATTAATCTGTGCTGCTTTTTTAAGAGGATCCCAGATACTTAAATCCGCAGCCAAGCCGAGCTGCAGGCACAGAAACCGCTCCTGACGAGCTGTTTCTTCAATTCCTTCAATACTTGTGGGAATTAAGTTTTTGTGGATATTTTCCCCCCTTCTTTTCCCAGGAAAATGGCTGTGGATTACTTCCTGCACGACAAGATCTGGTTCGAGAAGTACAAATATGACGACGCCGAGCGAAGGTTCTACGAGCAGATGAATGGCCCCATGGGTGGCCCCTCCCGCCAGCAGGTAATTCCCAATCCCAGGAATTCCAGAGTAAGTCAAAGGACATGATCCACCTTTGTTTTTGTGGGATTTCCACTCTTGGTGCTGGTTTTTTCCGCCAAGTCTCACTGGAGCTCTCTGTTTATGACCCATTTTGGTTTTGTTTTTTTTTTCCCCCCCACTGTTTTCTGTGGAATCTGAAGGATTTGATCCCAAGGAAATGGGAGATCAGATGCTCTTCCAACAGGTGAACCATTCCCAGCTTCCAGCAGTTGTCCTTAATTTTTCCAGGCTGCTGAGATTTCTGTGGTCACAGATTGAGCTGGAAATCCCCAATTTTATGGGCAAAGAGCCTCCCTGCCCCCCTTCATCCAGGGAAAACACTGCTTTGCTTCCATTTTGGAGCAGTCCTTTGGGATATTCCAAGAGAATACAAACGACCTAAAGTTTGAACAGAGGCACCACAGCTCCAAAGATTTTTTGGGGGGGATTTTTTTTATCCTTTTTTTTGTTCTCCTGGAAATATTCTGGGTGTTCCAGTGGAAGACTGTTCGTGGTACCGGTGAGTTGGGGAGGGAAAGGTGGAGGGCAAAGCATGATCCTGCTGGGCTGAAATATTTCCAGCTTCAATATTATCCCAAAATTATTCCTGTTCCAAGGTTCAGAGCTTTCCGAACCTCTTCCTGCTCCTAACTGCTTGTGCCTTTGGAATACTGAGTGTTCAGTGCCTCTTTTCCAAGCGTTTTACAGGAAAGCTTTTTGCTGAAATCATAACTTGCAGGCACATTCCAGGTATTCCTGCTGCCCATCCTGGCTTAGGTGCTGGCAATGCACCTGGAGGGATCAGGAATAAAAAAAATTGGGAGCTCTGGATGAGTGCTGGAAGTCGGTTTTGGAGTGAAAACCTTTTGGAACAGTTGAACTATTTCAAGGCACATCAGGAGCTTCCAGTGGAGGAGTTTGGCCTGGGAGAAGTGGTTTGAAGGATGTTTGGAGATCCTGCAGAAATTTATCAGCCACTTCCCCTATGGAAAAATATCCTTAAAACCTCCTTGGAAGCAGCAGGAAGTGGGGCCCACCTGGATGTGTCGAGGCTGTTTCTCCTTTATTTTCTGTTTAACTCAGGATTTGGGGCTTTGTGGGAAATTTCCCATCTCGGGTCTTGCTGGTGGGGGTTGCAGTCTGGGAAAGGCAAGGAGTGAATGGATCATGGAATTTCTAGGGAGGGAGTCTTGAAATCCAGGCTAAGGCATGGCAGTGGGAGCATAGGGAAAAAATTCCTGGTGTTCTGGGTCCCACCTCTCTGGATAGAGCAGAGTCAAGGTTGTCACTTCTGCCTGAACTCAGGTAATATTATGGAAAAATCCTGCCGCAGACTGGGTTTTTAAGGAGTTCTGGAGTCACTCCAACCCCCTGGCAGCTTCCCAAACTTTTCAGGGTAATCACAGGGAATTTAAAAGCTCTTTGACTGGATGATCCTTCTGGACATGTGACTAGAGACTGCCCGATTTAGCCCCAATCCTTACAGCAAAAATTGCTGAATCATGGAAAGAACAATTCCCAGTTTTCCCAATTCCCTTGCTCTTCCTTCCTTTCGTTGTTTTTTGGTTTTTTTTTAACTTCCCTGATGAACTTTTTTTCCCATGTTTTAATATTTTTTTTTTTAAAAAGAAACTCTTGGTTCTTTCTGCGCTGTTTGCAGGAGAACGGAGCCAGCACGATCCTCCGCGACATTGCCAGAGCCAGGGAGAATATCCAGAAATCGCTGGCCGGAGTGAGTACCCAAGCTCTCACCAGCTGGCTGCCTGCATCCTATTTTTTTTTTTTTCTTTAATGGAATTCTAATCCCATAGATTGGCTTCTTGGTTGGAAGTTAGAGGAGAAGACCAAGGTGTGCAGCGCCGTGTGCCACCGGCTCCGTCCCGTCCCCACGCGCTGCTCGCCCGCAGTGCTGCCAAAACTGGATTTGGGTTAAAAGAATTCCCTGAATTGGGCTTCTCCTTCCCTTTTTTTAATTTTTTTTCCTTGTTTTTTTTTTTCCTGGTGGGATGTTCCTATGGGTTTTAACTAACAGGTTCCAACTCACTGAGTGTGTGGCTCTTTTTTGGGATACACTGGGCTGCCACCTTCTCTTCCCCATTTTGCTTCCATTTTAGGGTATTTGCAAAAAAACAAAAAAAGTGTTTTCCATCTGCTGCATCCAGGGAATTCAGCTTGGCTACAAGCTCCAGGACTGGAGCATCCTGGAGGAGCTCAGGAATGTACTTGTGGAGGTTTTTATCCTGAGTCCAGGCTAGAGTGTTAAAAAAAAAATCTTTCTTGTAAAAGTAAGTTAAAATACTAATTAGTGGTTTTATGGGAAAGAAAATCCGTGGAATACAGCCCAGGTGACTTGATTTGCAGTGGACTCCCAAAGGAATCCATCCATTATTTGGACAGTCCAATATCAGGGAACAACAAGGAATTCCCCCTTTCCCAAGGGGAATATTCCATATCAACAGAAAGGAGCCAGACATTTGGGATGAATATAAGGAATCAGGATTTCAGCCAACAGCTTAAGGAAAAATTTCCCTGAACTGGCTCATTTTATTAAAAAAAAACCCAAAAAAGTGGATAAATGAGGCCCCCGTCCCAAACAGGGTCAAAAATTCCTTTGGGAAGAACTTTTGGAATTGGGCAAGGGGCAGGGAATCTAAACCCAAATCACCTGGAAGTGCTGCTCATCCTCATCTTCCAGAGTGTTTTGCCAAAGATGAGGAATTTCTTTCCTGACTCCTGTTAAAGAGCTTTTTTGGGAGAGAATCCCAGAAGTTTGGAGCATCCAGGTGCTGTAACAGGGATTGGCTAAAGCAACAGCCCAAAGTCAAAGGACAGGAATTTTGGGATATAAATGGTTTGAGGATTAGTGCTGGATGTAAAAAATTCCTCTGCTGGATATTTTTTGTTCCTGGGAAAGGGGTTGGATCTTCCACGTGGCTGAAAAATAGTTGGAATATCCCTCAAGGATTATTATTAATCTTGGATAACCAGGCTGGACTTCAGAACATTCCTAAACTTTCCAGACATTCCAGAACATTCCAAACCCCAGATTTACATTGTGTGATCCAGAGAAAAGCGGGAAGAGCAAAAGTCCCAGGATTTTTGTCTTTCCTTCCTCCAGAGTTACTGTCAGGGGTCTTAGGATGTGGCAAGGGAAGAGTTGGCTGTGAAAAGATAGGAAAATGGGAGTTTAGTGCATTTTTGCTGGGAATTTCAGGCTGGGATTGTGCCATAAAACGTAGGAATGAACACTTGGAATATGATGAGAGTCTGGAGTTCCTCGATTATGGGGAAAAGCAGGAAGTGGAATAGGAAATTCCGCCTGAACACAAGGAAAAATTGTATTGTCTCTGATATTTAAAATGTATTTTAGGATTTCAAACTTCAGGGAATAACAGATGTTTATATCCCAAATTGTTCAGCTGAAGTCCTGTTTCGTACCCTTCATAATTTCCAGGGGTTTGATTTGTTTGGATAATTAAATTTATGCACAATCCCAGTTTTCCCAAGCACTTCAGCCATCCAAAATATTCCACATGGGCTGCAGCTTTAAGGTGGGTTGAGTGCAAAAATTATGGCTTAAAAATAAAGGATTTGAAGGTTTTGTCCAAGAGTACAGAGGAAGGGAGGGAAGTGATGCTGTGGAACTCCCCACCTTTGGAATTTTGAATTCTTATCCCTGATAAAATTCACAGATGCTTGTGTGGAGCTGGAAGTTCTAAGAGGGAATGTTTTTTGTGTGCTGTAGTGGAGGTGTCGTGTCCACATTCCCAAATCTTGGAGCATCCTCTCCTCAGGGAAGATCCCACAGCCTCATAAAGGCAATTTTTCCATAATTTTTGAGGATTTGGGACATGGTTGTGCTTCTTGCATTGTCTTACGGGTTGCAGTTAAGATCTCTTGATTGTTTCAGCTTGGGACATGTATCCCTCGCTCTTCCCATGCTCTTCCCTCTGGTTTTTTTTTTAGGAATTATTATTGACAGGGAAGAGAAATCTCCTCTCCCTGTGCTGCCACTGCTTGGGCACCTCCAATCCTGGGATCAGTTTTGGGCCCTCATGACAAGAAGGACATTGGGGGGCTGGGGTGTTTCCAGGGAAGGGAATGGATTGGGAAGGGTCTGGAGCAGCTGTGGGAGCTGGGAGGGCTCAGCCTGGAAAAAAAAAAATGAGGTTCAGGGAGGACCTTCTCGCTTCCACAAATCCCTGACAGGATTTCCAGGTGGGAATTGGGATCTACTCCCAGGGAATGAGGGTTAGGGTGAAAGGAAACCACCAGAAGGAAAATTCAGCTGGGATATTAGGAAAATTCCTCATGGAAAGGGCTGTCCTGCCCTGGCATAGAGGTGGAGTCCCCATCCCTGGAGGGATTTAACATCCCTGTGGATGTGGCACTTGGGGGACGTACTCAGTGGTGGCCTTGGAGGAACTGTTGGACTCGATGGGATCAGAGGGATTTTCCCACCTCCTTAATTCCATGATTTCCATCCTTGGAGCATCAGGGCTGGCATGGTGTGATGAGCCCACAGCGCTGCATGAGCTCCCTGCAGACACCGAGATGTTTGTGGAGAAGACCCCAGAATTCCTGGGGGAATGTTTGCGTGCAGTGCAAGGCTGTTTTGCCACTGCTCCATAACTTCCCCTTGCATGCACCTCTTCCCTGCGCTTGAGGTTCCCTCTGGAATTGCGAAACCTTTTCCCATCTTCCCAAACTTTTTCCCATCCTGCAGCAGAAGACGCCTGCTCGGAGCAAGGAAGCACCTTGTGCCCGTCGCAAGAAACAGTCGGGACGCTCCGCTGTAAGTGAGCCATGCACAGATGGAGCCTGTGGAAAAACGGGAGAAGATTTGGTGGGACAAGGATGGAGCAAGTTCTCCTTCCTCAGGGTTTTTCCTTTGGCACTGGGATACACCTGGATAATGAGATCTGACAGCAGGGAGTTGTCCCAGCTCTGTGTCCAGGGATCTGCACTTGCCTTTCCTCAGCCTGAATCCACAGCTGAGGCAGAGATGGAATTTTTTCCTGCCTCTTTTGGTATTTCCTGGCCTTATCCCTGGAAGTGTCCAAGGCCAGCTTGGACAGGACTTGGAGCAGCCTGGGATGGAGAAATGTGTTGGTCTGGATGATCCTTAAAATCCCTTTCAACCCAAACCATTCCATGAGTCAGACTTTGTGCCTCATATTCTTCATCTTATCCCTTCTTTTCCCTCTTTCCATCTTATGTGACTGCTGAGATTCCACATCAGAATGAAAAAGAATAAATTATTCTCTCTTCTTTTCACTTAGAAATGACAATTCAAGGGCAAATCCTGTTATTTTCTTCCCCTTTGCTGCCTGAAATTGATGGATAAGGAACCTCCTTAACATAAATAAAACCCAAAAAACCTCTTTTTTTTTTTTTTTTTTTTTTGCTGTCAAAAAATCCTTTGTAAGGTAGGGTTGGAATAATTACTCTGTCAGGATGTGTTAAAGCAGATTGAAATTGTTAGGGAGAGGAATAAAAGGCTGGGCTGTAAAGGTGGGAGTGTATAATTCCTGGGATCTTTCCAGCTTTCCCAGTGTTACCTTAGGCAGGTCATTCCTGTCTCTCAGTGAGCTGAGAGAGGAGACCAAGGGACTTCAAGATTTTTAAGGGGCTTGGTGTGGAATTTTATATAAATGTTACGTGGTTTTAGTGGCATTTTGGGATCTGGGAGTGGGAAAAGTGATTTTATCCTTTGCTCCTTGGTGCCAGCTGAAATTCCTTTAGGGATTTAGTCCATGCTTAATTTTACAGAGCTGCTCCATTAGTTTCTATCCTAATTTAGAGAAAATATCCTGGGTTTTAGTTCAGCTCCTGAACTTCTTCCCTCCCTGAAGACACGACTCTGCTTTGCTTCGTGGGTTTTTTCAGGAAGAGGAGACACAACTTAATTTCACCCCGGTTTTCCTCATTGCAGAGTGCAAGCACAACCTCCTCTGGAGCTGCTGGTGACCAAAATGAGCTCCTGTCCCGAATTTCCCACCTGGAAGTGGAAAACCAGAACCTCCGCAGTGGTGAGTGGGAGAATTCCTCGTTCTGGCTGGAGACCTGACATGCAGCTGGGAATTTAAGGTCCTTTTTCCTATTTTTCTCTCCTTTTTCCAGTTGTTGCAGACCTCCAGATGGCCATTTTCAAGCTGGAAAGCCGCCTGAATGCTCTGGAGAAATCCTCAACTTCCCACCAGCCCTCACCTGTTCCTCCAACCCAGGTGAGCCTTGGAAAAATGCTGGAATTTTTCTCTAGGAGTTATAACCAAAGATCCATGTGGACAAATGTTGTGTTTTGAGAAGTCCTTTATAAATCCCACAGCATGGGGATTGTTCAGTGTCTTGAGCAGTGGAGATTCCCATTCCTGAGCTTTCTTGGCTGCTCTGCTCCAACACCAGTTTAATCTTTTCTCTCTTTTTCCCTTAAAAACCCTCGGATCTGGTGAAGAAAGTGGAACCGTTCAGCGTTCCCTCAAAAAAAGTGGAGCTCCCGGCCAAGAAAGCCACGCCGGCTGCTGCTGAGGATGATGAGGACGATGACATCGACCTTTTTGGGAGTGATGATGAGGAGGAAGACCAGGAAGCTGCCAAAGTCCGGGAAGAGCGGCTCCGGCAATACGCGGAGAAGAAGGCCAAGAAGCCGGGACTCATCGCCAAGTCTTCCATCCTGCTGGATGTGAAGCCGGTGAGTGGCTTTTGGAATTTGGGAGCTCTGTGGGGGAGGCTGGGAATCCTCTCTCATCCAAGTGGATGGTGGTGGCACCTGTGGTATTCCAAACAAAGGCTGGGAGCGATGTGGGATTTGTTGCCGTAGAAGCCTGGAATGGGTTTGGATGGATGGGACCTTAAATCCCATCTCATTCCATAGGCAGGGACAATTTCCACTATCCCAGGTTGCTCCAGCCTGGCCTTGGACGCTTCCAGGGGCAGCCACAGCTTCTCTGGGAATTCATTCCAGGGCCTCAGCAGCCTCCCAGGGTGGAATTTCTTCCCAATAGCCCATCTAATCTCACCCTATTCCAGTTTAAAACCATTCCCCCTTATCCTGTCACTCCATCTGTGTCCAAAGTTCCTCTCCGGCTCTCTTGGATCTCCTTGAGGTACTGGAAGGGGCTCCAAGGTCTTCTGGAGCCTTCTCCTACCAAGAAAGGGCACTTTGGATCAGTTGCGACATTCCCAGAGGTGTCACCTGGATACTCTTTGGGGCTGCTGACACTCTCCAGGAAAACACTAAAACCTCCCAATTCCCACTTTTCCAGTGGGATGACGAGACCGACATGGCCAAGATGGAGGAGTGCGTCCGGTCCATCCACATGGACGGGTTGGTGTGGGGAGCCTCCAAACTGGTCCCAGTCGGATATGGCATCAAGAAACTCCAAATCCAGTGTGTGGTGGAGGACGAGAAAGTCGGGACAGATATCTTGGAGGAGGAGATCACCAAGTTTGAGGACTATGTAAGTCTTGAAATGGGATGTGGGAAGGGCCTGGAACCCATGGGAGGGGGGTTAACTCATGTGTTTTTCTGGGAACACCTGCATGACTCCAGCTTTTGTCCCCTTCCAGGTGCAGAGTGTGGACATTGCTGCTTTTAACAAGATTTAGAAGGAAAAACTGTATCCCCCCTTCCTCCGAACCCGGAATTAATAAAGATGAACATTGGGAGTGCACGTTGGGTTGTGGGTTTTTCCCTCGGGTGCAGCTTCTCCAGGGCGATTTGGTGGGAGATTCTGGGATATTTGAGCAACCTGGACTAGTGGAAGGTGTCCCTGGCCATTGCAGAGGATTGGAACAAGAGATAAATTTAAGGTCTCTTCCAACCTAAACTTTTCCATGATTTCCTTGTCCTTCATGGAAGCAAAGATCTCAAGACATGGACCTGAATTTTGGGGCTGGCAATGAAGGTCTCAGGGTGTTTCCAGTCACCTTTCTCAAGGTTTAGAGACCCCACCCACTCTCTACAAATAAACAGGATGAATACCCAGGAAGCATCCAGGAATTGCTGCTGTGGGATGGATTTCATCCCTCTTTTCCCACCAAGTCCCTGCCCAGGTCACTTCAGCTGAATGTGGCCTGGCACTGGGACAGGTGACATTCCTGACTTTGGGAACACGAGGTCTGTCCCAGTGCCAGAGTCCAAGGTTTGGGGCCACGAGGAACACAAGAAGCTCCATGGGATTGTGCTGCAAGGTTGTCCCTTGTCCTGGTGGGGCCAGTGTTTTGTCACTGTATGTGACACGTGTCCCTTGCAGGGTCCTGGCTGTCCCACGAGCAGTGCTGGGAGTGCCACTTTGTCCCCTGTGCTGCCATCCTGAGTCCCTGCTGGTCCAGCTGCTGGCACAGCTGGTGCTACGTGTGCCCTCTGTGTCCCATTTCTGTCATGTCACCACGCCTGTGTCCCCTGCATGTGCTGCCATCCCCGGTGTCCTGTCTCCCATGGGCCACCATCCCTGTGCCCAGCGTTCTCCATGTGCTGCCTTCCCCTCTGCCCATTGTCCTGCGTCTGTGGCCATCCCTGTCCTGTGTCACCATCACCCGTGTGTTGCCATCCCTGCTGCCCTGTCCCCGTTGTCCCCACTGTCCCTGTATCCTCCCTCTGCTGCCATCCCTGTGCCACGTGTCCACTGTGCGCTGCCACCCCGCGTGTCCAGCTGTGTCGCCGACCCTGTCCCGTGTCCCCCTTGTGCTGTCATCCCTGCTGCCCCGTGTTGCCATCCCCGCGTTCCCCCAGCCCGTGCTTCCGTATCCCTCCTATTGCCCCGCTCCTCCCCCGTCCCTCCCCGTGTCCCCTCCCCTGTCCCCGTGTCGCCGCCCCGCCATGGCGCCGCTGGCGGACCTGTACCAGGTGTCCATGGCCTACGGGCACTGGCGGGCCGGGCGACACCGCGCCCCGGCCGCCGCCGAGCTCTTCTTCCGCCGCCCGCCCTTCCGCGGCTCCTTCGCGCTCGGGGCCGGCCTGGCCGAGGGGCTGCGGGGGCTCCGAGCCTTCCGCTTCTCCGCTGCCGGTGCGTGGCGACAGCGGGAGACAAGGAGGGGAGAGACAGAGTTGTAGGGAGGAGTGGTGGGCGAGGGGACGGTCCCAGTGGGACTTGGAGGGACGGGGGAACAATTCCAGGGCGCAGGGTGGGACGGAGGGGAGGATGAGGAAGGGACGGGAGAAGCGTTGTCGGGAGAGGAAGAAGAAGGGAACATTCCCAGGGAGACTCTGGAACAACTCCAGGGGACAGGGTACAGGATGAGGAAGGGACAGCGGGGAGCGGTGCGAGGGAAGGGGGAAAATTCCCCCCGAGGGGAGGATGGGGGAGCAACTCAAGGAGACTTGTAAGGGATGGGACAGAATCCAGGGGTGTCTGGGGACGTTTCAGGGAGACTTAAGGGGGACAGAGACATCTCTGAGAGTGATCTGGGGATGGGAAGTCCCCAGGGAGAGGGGGAGGACAGGGGAATCCCTCAAGAGGACCTGAGGGGGACAGGGATGTTTATCAGAGGCACCTGGGGGACTGGGGACCCGTGGTGAGGGAGAGGGACAGGGGAAGCCCCCTGGGGGACTGCAGGGGATCAGGACAACTCATAAAGGGACAGGGACATCTCTCATAGGGACTCAAGGGACAGGGAGACCCTTCAGGGGACACAGGACACAGGGGTGGACACAAAGAGCCCTGAGGGAAACGTGGGGGGACACTGGGACACCCTCCAGAGATCCACAGATATCCCTCAGAGGGGACTTGGGCCACCCTGTCTCGCTCTGTGCTGGGGGTGCTGTCACCCGCCTGTCCATGGAGCGCTCGGTGTTCCCCCCGCACCTCCCCCTGTGTCCCTCGTCCCCGGTGTCACCGCGCTGTCCCCGCAGATGTCGCGTACCTGCGCTCTGTCCTGCCCAGCACCACAGACGACGCCTTCTTTGACTACCTGGCCACCCTGGATGCCTCCGAGGTGACCGTCACTGCCATTCCTGAGGGTTCCGTCGTCTTTGCCAGGGTGGGACCCTCCTCCATCTTCTTTCCTGACTATCCTACCTCTCCCAGCTCCCAGACTTCCCATTTTCCTTGAACCTGGGATCCCCTGGAACTCCAATCCTGCTTTTCCCAGCACCTCCCTTTTCCCTGACCCTGGGAGCCCCTGGACCCCCGTTCCTGCCTTCCCAACCCTCAATACCCCCTCCCCCCTTTCCTCAACACCATGGACCCCTTGAACCCCCATCCTGGCCATGCTGGGTGTTCCCGCCTTGTGACCCCCTTTTCCTTCACACTGGGAATCTCTGGAACCCCTATCCTGGGCACAGGGACAATCTGGACCCTCATTCCTGGGCAATAGAATCCCCCTGCACCCCTTCCCTGGCACTGGAATCCCCTTGTACCCCCTTTTCCTTCACCAATATTCCCCTACAACCCCTTTCCTGACCATCACACCTCTCCCAGGTCCAGGCCTTTCCTTTTCCTTGACTCTGGGATCCCCTGGACCCCCATTCCTACCTTTCCCAGTTTCTCCCTGCTCCTGGGAGACCAGGATGTCACCGCTGTTCCCGCAGGTGCCGTTCCTGCAGGTGAAGGGGCCGCTCCTGGTGGTGCAGCTGCTGGAGACCACCTTGCTGTGCCTGGTCAACTATGCCAGGTATTTTGGGGTGGAGATGATCCCAAAGCCTCTGGAAGATGGAGAGGGGCAGGGAAGGGAGTGCAGCATCCCCCAACCCAGAGAGAAATGTGAGGTTGGGAAACCCCAGTCCTGGGGGTACCATGACCCTACAAGTCCCCTACTGGAATTTAACTGCTGGAATTCTTCTGGTTGAATTTAACTACTGGAGGGTATCCCAGTGTCCCCCCAAGTTTTCCTGAGGGCTTTCCATGTCCAGCCCACCCTGTGGTCCCCTGAAGGGTCTCCCTGTCCCCAGGTTCTCCTGGGAGATATCCTGGTCCCCCACAGGTCACCCTTAGGATCTCCCTGTCCCCCACATTCCCTTGGTCAACTCCACCACATCCCTGTCCACCAAGTCCCTGCCTCATCCAAGCAGGGCGGGTCCTGGAGCCCCTTCCCCGTGGCTGTGCTGGCTCTGTGTGACCTGTCCCCTTTGTCCCCCAGCCTGGTGGCCACCAACGCTGCCAGATTCCGTCTCCTCGCTGGCCCAGACATGAAGCTCATGGAGATGGGGCTCCGCCGCGCGCAGGGGCCGGATGGAGCCCTCTCGGCATCCAAATATTCCTACATTGGGGGTGAGTCCCACCCCACGGCACCCAGTGCCACTGCGGCCCTGCCGTCACCTGGGTGTCCTCCCCGTCCCTCCTCGCAGGCTTCGACTGCACCAGCAATATCCTGGCAGGAAAACTCTACGGAATTCCCGTGCGCGGCACCATCGCCCACTCCTTCATCATGTCCTTCAGGTGCCTGGAGGAGGTGCAGCCACGGGTGAGTGGTGCCTGGGATGGGAATGGGAGTGGGAATAGGATGGGATGGGAATGGGGATGGGATGGGAATGAGATGGGATGGGGATGGGATGGGAAGGGAATGGGAATGGGGATGAATATTGGATGGGGGTGGGATGAGGATAGGGATGGGAGTGCAGGTGAGGGTGGGATGGGGGTGAGATAGGGATCTCATGGGGGTGGGGATGTAGAGGGGGATAGGAATGGAGATGGGAATGGGATAGAGTTGGGGATTGGATGGGGTTGGGGATGGGATGTGGATGGAGATGGGATATGGGCATGATTGGGATGGGGATAGGGATGGGCAGAGGGAAGTGGGATGGGGTTTGTATGGAGTTAGGGGTGGGAGGAGATGGGGATAGGGATGTGGTGGGAATGGGGGTTAGGTGGGATGGAGATGGGAATGAGGATGTGGATAGGGGTGGGGAATGGGATGTGGGATGAGATGGGGATGCAGACAGGGATTGGAGTGGGATGGATATGGAATGGAACACTCCACCTGTTCCCACACTCCTGGCACCTTGGATGCCACGGGCTGTGCAAATCCCATGTTCCCGTGGCAGGAGCTGCTGCCTCGGGCTGGAGGAGATCCCGTGGATCTCGTAGGCCTCTCTGTGTCCTGGCTGCAGCGGGTTTGTGACCTGCTCCAGACTCCTCCCAGCAAGGCCAACCAGGGCGAGCTGGCTGCCTTCGTGTCCTATGCTGTCACCTTCCCGTGTGACTTCCAGGGATTGCTGGACACCTATTGTGTCAGGAGGTGAGGATGCCAGGACTTTTGCCACCATGACACAGGGGATGGATGTGTCCCTCATTGGTGGCCTTGGAGCAGGAATGCTGGCTGGCGCAGGGCTTGGAAACACTGCTGGATCTACCCTGGATCCGTGTCCCACTTGTCATTAACGCTTTCCTTGCCCATCCCAGGAGTGGTTTGCCCAATTTCTGTGCCGTGGCCTTGGCACTGCACCAGCTGGGATACCAGGCCATCGGAGTGCGCCTGGACAGCGGGGACCTGGCCCAACAATCCAAGGAAATCCGGGGAGTGTTCCGAGCCTGCGGAGCTCAGTGAGTCCCATGCCAGCCCTGGGATGGATGTCACCGATCCCCGTCATCCTCACCTGCACCCAGCCCCTCATCCTGCCAGGATTTGGGAGCCCTCATGGCTCTGGGTGTTGTGGGCTGATCCATGGATCCTCCCAAATCCTGCTCCTTCCAGCTTCCAGGTGCCCTGGTTTGCGACCATCCCCATCGCTGTC